ATCCACTCTGCAATCTATTTATAAAACCAAATGCAGGCTCCTTTGGGGGCTTCAGTAGTTTTGTTTAACTGCTTCTCCCCCTCTCCCCCTCACTGAGCAGACAGGTGCCATGTACCTCTGAAAGGAGACAGCAAAATGTTGGAAGCTGAGGTTAAAGTCCCTTGAGGTATGCAGTTTCCTGAGCAGGTTGGGCACACTTAGAAGGTAGATGCAGGAGAAGTCTGAGTCCTGGTGTCACAGAGAAAACTTTCTACAGTGCTATGTTCTTTATTTAGTGACTATTTGTTATGGGGCTCTCAGCTTGTGTAACACCGATAGTCTTGTCCTGGATACTCCAGTGGATTTATTAAAACCTAGCTTCAACTAGAGGAACAGTATCCAGGGGCCAGATCCAATAAAGTCCTGAGGTGACTAAAAAGTTGGACCTACCTTATATGTGCTTGATCACTGGAGTAGAATCCAGGATCCTGAGTGAGCCAGCTGTGTAGCTTCCTTATGTGATGCATGGGGAGACTTAGGAACATCAGAATGAAATCCAAAGCAGGGAACCACCTGAAGTCAGAATATGTGGGAAAGAGCAAGCCAATAAGGAGATGCCAAATCCTCAATCCAGCTCCAACACAGGATACCACACTCAGAGCTGCTGGGAGGTCTCTGCCTACCTAGGACCTAGGACACGGAATCTGGTCTTGAAGACAGGCTCCCATGTCCCTTCTTTCAAAGAACTGAACTGGACTCACTCTTTCTTTTAAACTGCAAGCAAGGAACACGTGTGCGTGTTTGTGGAGGAGTGAGGCAGGCAGGGTTCTTTGAATAGATGTAATATCTTTTATTAAACCAACTGAGTAGTTGGAAAAAAGTTCTTAGCAAGCTTTCAGGTGCAATCACCCTTCTTCAGGCATTGGGAGTCTCTGCTGTTCTGAGACTCCAAGGAACGAGAGACGCTAAAAGTGTGACAGGTCAGTGAGAATGTGAGAATGTAAATAGGTGGAAATTAGGAAAACAGAAGGTAGAGCAGGGAAGGGGTGGAGGGAAGTGTGTGTGTGGGGGGGAGCGCCAAAGATGAGTAAGGGAGACTCTACAGTAATAGTAATTCAAGGAAGAAAAAAGGCTGTCAGTGAAAAATGAAATAGCTGGAAATTAGGAAGACAAAGGGCAGAAAAGTAGGAGAGGGGAGGGGAGAAAGGCGAGGAAAGAAAAGTGTTAGAGGCCAGGTCTGGCAGGTACCTGGTGAATCAGCTGTCAGGCAGGTTGTAGTGTGTCATAAATCCAATGTCTATATTGAATCCATAATTTTTTGTATCCAGTAGATTTATGAAGTGAAGTTCGTGGGCTCATCTACGAAAGGTGTTTTGTAAGTTCCCTTTGAAGATTTGTGGAGGGGTGATAGTTTCTTGTTCTGGTTAATCTTAATGGTTCGAGGACTTGCCCAGGGAGTGGGAGACAGGGGTTCATTCCCTCACTTAGTGGTGCCCTTTCACTCCTCCTTTTGAAGCTAGGCCATTTCACAGGAAAAAATGTAAGATTCGTTCATCCAGAAACAGAGCCCAAGCAGGAGCACAGCTCTGTAACCTACTAGTTAGAGTACTTTCTCTGGAGGGAGGGAATCTGGATACAGCCCCTTTCCTCTCTTTCCTTTCCCTGCCTCCCCCCAGATCCTCTGAACTATGCCAGTATTCTTTCCAGTGTTTAATGTAAAACACAGAAACCATCCTGGGAACAGAGACCATAACCCAGATGTTCCATTTTCCAGGTGAGTGCCTTAACTAATAGGCTGTAGTCCTGCTCCCTTTTTACTAACAAATCCTCTGTGCTCTTCTGCACAGTGATACAGTTTCAACCAGAGTGAAGCATGCTGCCCTCAGCCAGAACACCCTCCAGTCTGAGGGTTAGGCACTCTCCTGGGTAGTTTTTCCCCTCACGCAAAGGAAGGAAGTGAACACTTGTCTCAAATCCTGGGCAACTGCTATTATTAGAACAAATGTACAAGTGCTGCAATGCTGCTAGTCTGGGAACACCAACACATGAAACCCCGCAAGGGACAAAGATGCAGAAACACATTTCTGGGTCCTGATCAGGCTTATGTGATCTTCTTAGCTCTGCAAAACAGAGGCAATTCTGAGCACGAGACACAGGAGCACTTTCAGGCACCCGCAGAGATTTAAAGTAACAAAGTGTCCAGGGAGGTTAGGCACTTCTAGGGTTAGACAGCAGTTGAGCAGAGTTTTCCAGGAACACAGCTTTGGGCTTAAATACCTAAATTCTTCTTCAGTCCAACTTCTGGCACCTCAGTCTGCTTTTGGATTTAGGCCTGGCCCTTGCTACACAACTATGAACAACAGAGAGCAAGTGAACGTTGGTATTTCTTGTAGCAGGCCTACTCTCTCCCATTTCCTGAAAAATTAATGGTTCTCTACATAAAAAATGATGTGCCATTTATATCACAGCTAGGTCTAGCAAGCAATGACTTTGTATTTGCAGTGCTTTATGCATAGTATCATATTATAGTGCTTAGAGTTGGAAGGGGCCTAAACAGATCATCAGATCCGACTTCCTGTCCTAGGCAGGAATAGGTGCCGTGGTCATATCACCCCAGCCAAATATCTGTCCAGCCTCCTCTTGAAAACCCCCAAGGTAGGAGAGAGCACCACTTCCCTTGGGAGTCCATTCCAGAGCCTGGCAGCCCTAACCGTAAAGTAATACCTCCTGATGCCCAGCCTGAACCTTCTAACAGTTTGTGGCCATTATTCCTAGTAACCCCGGGTGGGGCCTGGTGGAACAGAGCCTCCCCCAATTCCCACTGGTCCCCCCTGGTGAGTTTGTAAATGGCCACCAGATCCTCTCTCAGCCTTCTCTTGTGGAGGCTGAATAGTTTCAGCCCCTTTAGCCTCTCTTTGTATGGCCTGACCTGCTGCTCCTGACCATGAGAGTGGCCCTCCTCTGGACCCTCCCAGTGCTAGCCACATCCCTCTTGAAGTGCAGTGCCCAGAACTGTGGCCTGGCCAGCGCCGCATAGAGGGAAGTATCACCTCCCTGGACCTGCTCGTGATGCATCTGTAGATGCATGACAAGGTGCGGTTAGCTTTACTGACTGCTTCCTCGCATTGGCGGCTCATGTTCATCCTGGAGTCAACAGTGACTCCAAGATCCCTTTCAGCCACCGTGTTGACAAGAAGGATGTTCTCCAGCCTATGGGTGTGTTGCTGGTTCCTTCTCCCTAGATGCAGCACCTTGCACTTCTCTGCGTTGAATTCCATCCTATTCACATCCACCCTCCTCTGTAACTTGTCTAGATCTAGCTTGATTCTGTCCCTCCCCTCCAGCGTGCCCACCTCGTCCCAAAACTCAGTGTCGTCAGTGAATTTGGACAGCGTGCTTTCCACACCCACATCCAGATCGCTGATAAAGATGTTGAACAGTACAGGCCCCAGGACCGAGCCCTGGGGAACTCCACTGCCCACATCTCTCCAGGTTGAAAACGACCCATCCACCACCACTCTGTGGGTACGACCATCTAGCCAGTTTGCCACCCATCTGACTGTGTAGGCATCAATGCCGCAGTCACCTAGTTTCTTTGAGGAAATGTGGTGGGAAACAGTGTCAAAGGCCTTCTTAAAGTCCAGAAGGACGACATCCACCCCGACACCCTCATCCAGGGATTTGGTGACCTGATCATAAAAAGAAACCATGTTAGTCAGGCAGGATCTGCCCTCAATGAACCCATGTTGGTTGCCCCTGAGCATTACCTCCCTTGCTGGGCCCTTGGAGATGTGCTCCTTGATAATTTTCTCAAAGGTCTTCCCAAGAACCGAAGCAAGACTGACTGGCCTATAATTGCCGGGGTCTTTCTTTCTCCCCTTCTTGTAAATGGGGACAACATTGGCCCTTTTCCAATCCTCTGGTTCCTAGCCAGTGCCCCACGAGCACTCATAGAGCCGTGCCAGGGGCCCCACTATGACCCCCACCAATTCCCTCAGCACCCTGTTCATGGTTTAATTCACATCACTATTCATTAGTGTCCTTGGGAGCTATGTGGCTAATTCCCCAAGCAACAGCCTCCATTTTTTCTGACGTCATTGCAGTCATAACTAATCATAATAGAGATGGCTCCCCATGGCCATGGTGCAGTGTCAGGGTTTGCAAGGAGCACTTCCCCACCACAGGGCTAGAATGGTTAGTATGATAACCTAAAAGCCACCATCATGAGGACTCTTCTTGTTGGCTCTAAAGGCAAACACAGAAAATGGATTTAGACTGTGCCTGCACCAAGCTTGACCAAAATATGTCATATGCACACAAAGTTACGCTGACAAAAGCAGTCAAGGAGAATGAAACGAGGTTCCTGTGGGACAGTATGGCACTTAGCAGGCAGGCACATTTGTTACAAATGAACAGGTCTTGCATGTTGTAGG